TTGACCTAAAATGTTAGTGTCCTTCAAGTATTCAACAATCTTTTGAATTATACATCTGTACATTGTGTGATCTATAAATTATCGAAGCCCTTCATATCGTATTTAGATATACAGTAAAACCTGTCTTAGTGAACACCTCTCTAGTGAACACATGTCTCTAGTGTACACCCCTCCTCCGCACATACTCTACTGACTTCTGTGTAGTGAACACCTTCCAACACTGAACTTTTTTCTCTGCAAAAAATGTTCAATATACACAGGTTTTACTGTATCTAATTTGTTGTCAATTAAAGGACCATGTGAGGTATAGGAAGTGATTTTAGGTGGTCATATCTTTCACCATTCAGTACTTTCTGGCCACGAATACAATGGTTTTTATTAAAACAATATGTTTTCCTTCAAGTGAAGTCCCCATGATGTTGAAATATCAATCCGACTCTCTGATAAATTATGTATTAGGACCTCACTTTGGCACTTTAAATAAGGTTAGGCTTATTTTCTAAAAAAGGATCTTATTTTTCTCAATTTATCTAATTTATTTATCATATCAACGGTTCCTTCTACACTAGCCTATATCAAAAATTCCTGAAAAGAGGATGAAGTTTGAAATGTGCTAAAGTTAAAGATCACATATCCCATGTTATTTTCTCATAGGGAAAACTCATGCTATGTATTGTTTTCAGCATAATTTTGGTCATCGAAAATTGATATCTTCAAAACTTTTTCTTCCATACCTGCCAACTAACCGTATTTTTACGGGAATCTACCGTAAAATTTTAGTTTTTCCTCAAAAAAATGACAAACTACCGTAATTTTACCAAAATCTACTGTAAAATATTTTATTATAATTCGATTTTTTCTATAAGAACGGCCATAAATATACCATAAATATTTGGAAATCTACCTCATTTCTGCTGAAATTAACAGTATTCTTGTTCAAACTACCATAAAATCTACCGTTACCTCATTTCTGCTGAAATTAACAGTATTCTTGTTCAAACTACCATAAAATCTACCGTCATTATTTGGAAATTCTGAAAAATTGAAGTCTTCCCGTATATCCCTTGTAATATTCCATTACCAACTCGAAAATAAATAGGTGACGGCACGTCTGTGACAGTGGTTATTGCATACTTAGTAAGTAACTGAGTAACCTGGCGTGTTATCAGTCAATACACTGGGGAGTATCGTGATGCAAAAACACAGTGCAAAACTAATTTTTCAAAAATCTACCGCAAAACTACCACATTTTTTCAAAATATACCATAAAACTACCGCATTTTTCAAAATTTCCGAAAAAATACAGTCTACCCGAAAACTTCAAAATGTACCGTAAAACTACCGCATTTTTGTCGAAAAAAACAGCAAAAACAACCGCATTTTGAAAAAAAACTAACACAGGTATGATAGACTTTCACACCATTCTACTTTTGAAGAAGTTTTAGACCCCTTGTTGATTAATATTTTCATGCATAAAAATTAGAAAAAGAAGATCCTCACTTCATTTTGGAAAAATTGTTGACATGGGATCCCAATTCATAATTTTTTGAATTGTTCGATTGATATTTTTATCATCATGGGGACTTCACTTGAAAGAAAACATTTTGTTCTTATAAAAACCACTATTATATATCCCAAGAAAGTACTCATGGTGAAAGATAGGACTGTCTTAAATAACTTACCACAACTCACATGGAGCTTTAACATATTAAACTCATTATTGAGATTATTGTTTGTTAAACCAAACTAAATCTTTTATGAGCTGAGACTGTTATATTTGATATGCTAGTATAACTAAATATTCTTCATTTCTATTTTTGCAACTCATTTTGAAAAAAACACAAAGGGCCCTACTATACCTTGGCTTTTTGATGTTTGAAAGATGACTGCATAACTTATAGGGCTATACAGGGTGTTATATAAGAACAATTTGCAATCTCGAAAATGACTTTTATTTTTAACTGCATATGAGAGCAAGTGTTGGAATATGGGGGACTAAAATAACTAACCATGTGATCTAATTATATCAAAACCAACTGGTACAACAAAAAGTGGTACAGAATATGTGTTATGTGATGGGTTATCTCGGGTAATTTATTTCTTTGGCACTCCTAGGTGAATATATGAATACATGTATCTGCTAAGTGAATATATGAATATCTCCGAGGTGAATATATGTTGACTTGTGACAATCCTTAATTCTTAAATAGTTATCAATCAATTTATTTCTCTTATCGCATTTTGAAATTTGAAAAGCCAGGCCTATATTTTAGCCCATGCACATACCTAATTTTCAGTTACATTCTCACACTCATACAAAATGAAGTTGGTTTGTGTCTTTTTGCTTGTGATTGGTGTTGTCTTGGGTAAGTTAAATATAATAATATGAAATAGATACATTCATATGTTGGGCCATATGTGCAGCGGAAAGGACAGTTTTAAATCTTCAGAAACTCCCAAAGAAATGTTGTTCATAAGCTGTCTCTTTATCTTAAGAAAATACTCAAAACCTTTTTGGTATACAATATTGAAATGAGAGCATTTCTATAGTTTCTACTTCATTTGGAGTTGAATTGTCCGATACATGTATAATTTGCAATCAATTGATCAAATGAAATAGAACTACACAGAACTACACAACCTAGAAACCCTTACCACACTGAACTATGCCAATTATTGTAAGTTGCCTACCTGAACTTATTTTCATTAAAATCTTGTCGCACTGACTGACACTTTACAAAATTGTTCATCCCATATTTTCTAAAATTATTCTAATTGTATTTCATTAAATATTTTTGGTATTAATCATAGTGGAATTTTTGATTCTCAAAAAATTACATATTGCTGCTTCTGAATTTTTTTGCTCAATGTCTATTTTATCTTACATTATTTTAAACTTGGGATTTAGGGGCACAGTGACATTGATATGTACGTATTGTGTATATCAAACAAATTTGCTGCTACTTTTCATGTTAAAAGCAAGAAAATCCTTATAGGATGCTTAATGACTTGACATATTTTCTTTTTTGCGTACATACAGCTCAACATGAGGACTGTGACACAGCATGTCAAGGAGATGAAGTTGATAGATTCCAGAAGGGCCAGTGTGTGGCTGAATGTGCAAGTCCAGGGTTCATACACCTTGATTCTGAATTACTTTGCAATGATTCAGATCTAAGCATTTGTTGTTGCTACTCTTAAGTTTGCAGCATAAGAGGTATGTTACTATGATGCTAGTACCTGTAGCATAACAAAACCACTGTATCAGATCATTTCTGATAAATGTTTTTCAAGTCCCGTTTTTCCTATCCATTGACACTCGTTATGTCACGTCATGTCAAGTCATCTTGAAATATGAACACCTCCCAATGCATACAGTTTCATTTGAAAAATTAAGTTGCCTATTATTAACATTTGTAATGTAGGAACTCTTCATAATGCCAATAGCCTTAAGCTATGGCCATTACATATCAATGATTGAATGGTGGTTTCATGGTTATTATGCATTTCATGTACGATTGAATGGTGGTTTCATGGTTATTATGCATTACATGTATGTACTATTTACATATTATCTCAAACTACTGTATCAAATAAATATATCATGACTTTATTTTTCCAGACTGACTTTTCAATGGGAACATCAAGCCAAAGCAGTCAAAATTATATATCTTGTGTTTATTTACTCAATGTGAATAAATATTGTAAAAAATATTTTGAATTTTCTTGTTACATCTTAGCCATTCACAAAGAATGAAGTGTACACCAGAAAAGCACAAAGTATATTACAGATTAAATGGTATTTTCCAAATGCATAACATAGTGGTACGTTTAAGTGATCAATCAAAGGACAAGGGTCATCACCTACACTCTCCCCGCAAATATTGTGTATCTTAATTTTTAAATCAAGCATTGTCATTTCAACTTTTAACTCATTGCTGGCCAAAGCTATTTTTGATGTTTTCTGCTGGTGACTGGCCATTTTGATAAAAAAATTGATCAAAATGCCATGTTTTCATATCAGCATTTTAAAGGACTGTATCAACACCCTCTTTGCTATGTTTAATACCATTGTGAACAGCAATGACAATATGATGACAATATATTTCAATTGCACCCAACCGTATTCCCCATGTGACCCCTACAATATTTCGAAAGATTATTGGTACAAATTGTGTGACAATTATTGTATAGCACCCCGAGATATCTCGAGGTTGGTCAGATACGACCAAGATGGACAAAGTACCATAGTACCTCCATGAGAAAACATAATGGTCTACATCTTACCAGGCTCTTTTAAAACAAATCCACAATTAAATTTTAATCATATTTATTAAACATAAAATCCCTGAAATGTTTTACACAACATCCCATCCGCCAAAAATATAAAAACACATATGTCATATGCACGCTGCATACATGTAGCAACCACATCTACAGTAATGTAAAATATACATATTTGATATGTATAACATTTAGACCTTATTTCAACACTTGCATCTAAACTTCATATAAATATGTTACATCTTCCACATAATACAACATGTAGGTATCAGTTCTAAAATTCTTTAGCTGTATGCAAAAATTTATATCCATTTACTTGTATAGCATACATTACAACATCATTATACAAAACATCGTTATACAGAAACTATTTCTTTGTTTCCCGCACCAAAATAAAAATTAGAATCAATATTCTGGGATTGCACATACAACATAGACAAAGCATAGATGAAGACAAGAATCCAACAAGAAACCTACAGTCTGTAATACTACAGGTACTGGGTCAGACCCATATTCTTCCCTTCATGGTTTAATCCCATTGGTTCCCAAAGGAGAGAGGCAGTTGGGTGTTGCACCCACTTGAAAACCCACTTACACACACTTGAAAATGACACGTTCTAGGGTGGAAATGGTCTCCAAAGATATGGGTCACTTGACTTGCCTCTATAAAAACATGTGAAACCTTGTTTCCCAAAACCATCTCATTCCAATATTAAAAACTTCAACTTGGTCATATACACTTTGTTTTACAAGAAATGTTCATATTTTCTTGTTACCCTGCCAGAGACAGACAAAATCCATATGGAAGAGATTTTGGAAAAACTCACTTGACCTGATTATACTCAAAACAGATCTTTATAAGAATTTCCCATCATCTTTATGGGGTTCTTGATATTGCCTATAACACTTACATTACAATGAATACTTCTGTCTATACATATAAATATTTCATACAATAGATGAATCATTTAATATCAAAAATGAGACCTTACATGATTAACACAATAGAATATCAGATGTGAATTTCTGATGCCAAAAGCTGAAAATATGCCATATTTTAAAACATCTTCACATGTGTCTTGTGTTAATTCATTCCATATGTAATGTGAGAGCTATTTATATCATATGTCATACAAATTGTTTGAAATCTAAATCGATCATACGAGAAGAGAGTCTTTGGATGTTCCAAATAGGGCAAGGTTTTGCTATTTCTGCTCCTTTGATATCTACTTCAATCGAGGATCTCCAATTGCTTTCTCTGGGTCACAGGTAAACGAAACAGTTATTGCATATCTAGCGCCCTCTTTTAGCCTTTCGACAAAATGCAGGTTCTCAGATCCAGAAGTGAAGAAGGAAAGTCGACCTGAAAATGTAGAAGAGAATATATATGTATCACAAGTGCCAAAAGAAAAAAACAGAGCAAGAACTCGAGACATTCTTTATGTACAACCAGTCATGAGGAAAACAAACCCCAAATCCTATTATCAAACTTGTAAGAAACAATATCTAATATTACTTCTCCTTCCATTCAGGAATCATAGAATATTTTCATTTTTATTATTTTCTTCTTCCGATTCAAGTTTAGTATGCAGAATATATGGTTTTAATTTAAAATGTGTTATAGTGGGGGGAATTTAGTGGAAAATATTTCAAATGGTGATACAAGCAAATTTATTGGCTTAATCTATTATTTAAACTATTTGGAAAAATTATGTCCCTGTGATCGATCAAACTGAACACTATTTCAGGAAAAAATTCAAGATGGCTGCCGTGTATGTGTAATTCGATACAAAAGACACTCTAGATTAATATATAGAGATAAATATGGTTTAAAATTGTATTGATTCAGTAGTAAAGCATGTACATTCTATCTAGAAATACAGTTACATTCATTAATGAGCTGAATTTGGGCAAAATGACTTTATATAAGGATTCTACAAGGTTCTATTTTGGGAGCACTCTTATTTTGCAACAACTTTAGTCATTAAACTTGTTTTCTTGAATAATGTTGATATTTCACACATAATTCAATCTAATATTTCAAGTTTACATGAAAACACTGTCTTACAAATACCAAGGAGACTTTGAAGGAGTCCCGCAAGGTTCTACTACACTCTATTATTATCACAATCTCTTGGAATTCGGTGGAAAATATTCAAAATTGCGTTACATGCAAATTTATTGGCTAGTCAGTTATTTATGCAAATAAGAAAATTCCATCCCTCAAATCAGCCAAACCTAATACTATTTCAGTAAAAAATTTAAGGTTGTCGAAATATGTACATAATTCGTTAAAAATAACACCTTAGATTCATACATAGAGATAATATGGTTAAAAATATGTTCACATGGTACGAAGACATGCAAATATATTTAGAAATGCTATGATCTTCTTTGATTTGAATTTTGGCAAAAAGAGTTTTAAAGGAGTTCTTCAAGGTTCTATTTTGGCCCTCTCTGTTAGAACTTGAATTACTTTATAACATTCTCTAATACATTTAATATTTAAGACATAATTCAAGAATATATTTCAAGTTTGAATGAGAATATTGTCAACCAAGTATCAATGCAAACATTGAAGTAGTCTTCCAAGGTTCTACCTTAGTCCAATATTATCACAATCTCTTAATAGTATGATGAAATAAGGGCAGGTAGACAAGAACTTATCAATTATACAATCACCACTGGTTGGCAGCCTTTAGAGAAGGGAATCATGGCAGGCTGCATATTACTATTCATGGCAGCTATGAACATCCTTCTGAAAGGAGCCACAAGGAGTGCAATGAATTTAAAATGAGAAATGGTAACCCACATCCAACATACTAGAATAGTATCACATTTTTGTAGTATCACATTTTCATGGATTGATGGGGTCACTCTAGCAAATGACACTGAAATAGCCATTCTGTGTATCTTCACTGAACTAAAAAAAAACTAGTAACCTGGGAATCATATCAAATCTTGCAGTCTCCTGGAAGCTCCCTGTCATTTCCTTATAGAACACTAAATGACACAAAACTAACCCAACCAACTAGGCAAGGCAGGACGGCCTAATAGAACATCCAACATATTGACCCAATTGTCAAAAGTACTTCAAACTGCCTAAAGAGTCCTAAAGCAACATATGTGATTCAGGCAACAGATTGGAAGGTGACTAATTGTAATGACTATTACAATGAGTCTCCTTTATTGCCCAAATTACTTGATTGTCATCAGAACAATATGATAGTCCCTTTCCTGGCTGTTTAATTCTGCTTGAGTTACAGCAACAGAGTGGAACAAGGCTCTCTTAGAAATAGGCCAAACAGAAAAATGGTGACTATGGCTGCATTGTGCAGAGCTGGCTGAATAATTGAGTGAGGTTTGATCAACCTGTTTTCCAACCTCTCTGAGTTTGTATGCAGCTTTAGGGATAGAACAGAAAAAATGGAAATTAAACTGACAAAAAAAGACTAAAGCTGCTAATCACAACAAAACCTGAAGGACAATAGTGCCACAAGCAATGATACTCCATTGTTTAAACTCACGTCAAAATTCTGCAATTATTTTCTTGCTGGTGTCAAAGTAATGGTGATGTAGTTGTAAAACATGGTAAATACATTGATAAATCTGCAAAACTCACTCAGTACTCAATGTTCAGTTGTTTTGGCAACTTCAGTTGTTTTGGCAATTTACACAAATTGATTTTGTTGTAAATTAGTGCATTTGTAAGTGTAAAGAATAAGAAGGGTGCCAAAAGTGAACCTTAAACAAGCGGTTTAATGTAATAATGACTTTTAAAAACTGATTTTGTTCTACATTAGTGAATGTATATTCCTAATTATAGAACAGTAGTACCAATGATGTTAAATTCATTACATTAAATAGAGTATCCATTGTACCACTTTGTGAGTATACAAAATAAGAAGGGTGTCAGGAATGAACCTTGCTTAACTCCTAATTATTTATTTTGACTTGAGTTCATAACAGTATTATGTGTTATGTGTGTATGTTGTATACTACAGCTCTAAACATAGAGATAAACATGTCTAATCATACTCTGATGAAATCATAGCAACCTCTCTATTTTATGATTACATGTATATTACATTACATAGTGATACATGTACTACATAAACATATAATCATACACATATATAAAATATGTTTTGTGCTATATAGTTATTATAATCATATTATAATATCCAGTTACCTTTGAAGATGGTCTGAATGTACTTATTTGTTTTCTGTTGATACACGTTTCTAACTTAATCCTACAGAATGATAAAATTGACCACAACTTCCTTTTTCCAATTTTATAGGGTAGGGCACTTTCAACGCTTTTTAAAAAATACTTTCAATTTTTCAATAATTGAAATCTTCATATTGTAGTATCAGGCAAAGTTATTAGATGTTTTTTAAATAATAATTAATGTTATTTGTCATTGCATTCTTTATTTGAACCTAGAAAATGAACATTATTTCCCATTTTACGCCAAATCGTCACACTTTGGGGCCATGGGAGAGGGCTAAAATTCAGTTTAAAAATTTGAAAAAAATTCACATGACTATTTTCACCTTAAAGAACAACATTTCACCATGAGGGCATGAATTTTCCAAAAAAAAAAAATTTGCCCACCCTACATGTTATTTAAGTCATACTTTGTCGGCCATCTTGGATTTTGGGGGGAAGAAGTGAAATATTCCGTCGATCACAGGGACAGATTTTTTGAAAAAGGTTTTAAGAAGCAGAAAAGCCAAAGTTTATACTTGTATCACCATCTGAAATATTCTGCCTAATATAGGGGTAAATTCCCCCCACTATTACAATTCTCTCTCATTAACATGTAATTCCTTTTCGTAATTCATGTTATTAAATCAATTATATGCAATCATTTTTTCAAATTTTTAAAAATAAGATTAACATTAATAAAACAAAGATAGCACCACCAGTTTGGCAAAAATACAACATCTTCATCAGTGGGTGATATAGTGTTTATTGTATGATCTGTAAAATGAAGCCTTCTGATTGGTCAGTTCTTGTGCTGTACCAATCTGTAATGCTACTGAGATTGTCCCCATTGATCATCTCCGTCGCAATACAGAGAATATTGGTACGGAGACGGAAGGGACATTCTCAGTAGCAATAAAAACTTTGTCTCGTTCCAATACAAAATTTCTCGAGCAGAATATATCCTGTATTGCATTTCAAATCATTCAATACCTTATAATATTTCTGCAAATGTTCCTGAATTAAGAATTCTTAAATCAGTTGATTATCGATGATACATGATACTAGGGTAAAGCAATATATACTATTATATAGTAAAGCAACTATGATGGAATATGGAAATCTTAGGTTAGGCAGAAATGTACCACTGAAAATACCTGTTACAGGCTCCACCGTACGATTGGTGTCTTTATCGATGAAGAAAAAACGTCCACCTCTAAAGTCCTCCATGTATTCAGTGAGATACAGCAGTGAAGTGTAATGGAAAGAACCATAGGTTTCCTACAGATGTATGAAAATATTAATTATACTGTATATGAGCAACATACTTTCATGCAATCCGGCTAAATGAAAATAATTTTTTTGATAAGACGTAATGTGTCTTTAACTATGCAGATACAGAAAAAGGACAGACAATGTGTATAGCATAACTTAGGTCTACTTTAAATGTTTAAATTGCGTTATTAACACTGTAAAATGAAAAATCAAGGGTGCTACTGACTGTACCTTATCTATATGAGGGTGCCAGTATTCATCATGTATAGTTTTTGCTGGTTTTGTTGTAAGCCGAGAGAAAAATGTTGGTTTTGTTAAATAAAGTTTATCTTTTGGCACTTCAAACTCTGCTGCTACTGCGCTGTGGATTTTATCCTTAACTTTTCTGGAGATAAATAAGAAAACAAATACATAATACCAGTATTTTAAGTTATGTGAGTAAGCGTCATGCTATTATCTTATAAATGCAAATTGGAAAACAAAAAAATATTTTAAAAAGTAAAACTGGACATGAATATTATTCCACAAGTGACTGAAATAAATAAATCAAATGCTGACAGACTTAAGTGGTATGCCAATGATCAATTTTGATTAGAATTCAATGGTTTTTAAACTGGGGATGCTGTTACATGCATTTCATCCTCATAGTATGTGGTCATATAAGAAAAAATGACACAATTTTGTGGGCATTGGCTCAGATGCTGATTCTTATTACATGTACATGTACTCATCTTTTCCAATAATTGTCAAAAAAGTGATATTTTGATAACAAAAAAAAAACTGATTTTCCAAAACAAAGCAAAAGTAAGAGGCAAGACCAATGGTGTATATTACCAGAATGTACCCCCATAAATGGATTGGAACATTAGTTCAGGCTATAATGTACAGATGGATGAGTGGGTATGCTCACCATGGGAGCCAATAACACTGAATATCATTTCCCTGTAGCACTGATACATTCTTAAATTATAAGCTGGTTCAAGGGGAAACATTCTGGAACCTACTACATTCATTTACTATACTCACTTCCTGTTGCAGTAAAAACAATAAACATACGAGGGATTAACATGGACATCACCACCCACCATTTGTTACAGACACCAACCATCAAACACCAACTCTAATACCAACTACCAAATACCACCCATCAAATGCCAAATACCATCCACAAAAAGTTGAAGAGTATAACTATATGTCACCACTTGTGGTGGTGAGATAAGAATGTGGACAATGAGTTCATATTTATGCCAACTCACTTATAAATCATGAAGTCCTCTGCTGTTAGAATCTGATCTGGTTCAGGATGGCTCTCTAAAGCTCTGAAACAATTGTATTTTATTAATACAAATTCAATGTTCAATGAACATAGTAAAAATGATTTCTAGATATCGAGATTTGAGAGTAACACTGAAATTCGAGCACTACATTGTTAGAATGTGATAACATTGACTTAATCTATGATAGAAATTGGTTACCACTAAAATCCACAAAAAATCATTTCATAAGATCTTGGCCATTCATTAGTACTGGTCACTAGATAAAAGATGGCTCTAACATCACAAGAGTAATAATAACCTGATGAAGAGATCACACATCTTTACAGTGTTTGAAAATATATCAATGTTTGATAAGGAGTTTTACAGGGGTTGAGTTGACTTGGGGTTGAGTTTTACATGGGTTGAGTTGACTTGGGGTTGAGTTTTACTGGGTAGAGTTGACTTGGGGTTGAGTTTTACAGGGGTTGAGTTGACTTGGGGTTGAGTTTTACTGGGGTTGGGTTTTACTGGGTTGAGATGACCTGGAAGCTTTGATAATTAATTCACCTGTCTCTTTCTTATATTTCAACATTTGTTTCCTTGGCGATGTCAATCAATTTCTTAGTAAATGAATGGAAAACCTCTGGGCAAATTGACACTTCTGATCTGATGTTGATGTCATTTTTCTCCTGCTTTTTTGCACTTACTTAAAGATATTGATGAAAGCATTTCCTTTAGATATGGCCCCTGTATGTAAGTCAAGTATTGAAGCCTATAATATAAAAAATATAAATGCATTTAAATAGTGTAGGAATGACAAACAAGGAATAACTTGGGATTAAGAGATTTTCTGGTTGAAATAATTCTGCGAATATAAACATTAAAGCAAGAAACAACACTGTGATATCATGTATGCATACATATGAAGTAGAATGGTAAACCAAGATGGGCCAAAAATTGCTACTTTGATCTTAATAAAGTATAGGGAGGGCTTTGTGAATACATTATAAAATTACAGTACGGTATTTGTAAGAAAACTAGAAAATAAATTATATTAAAACCTATGAAACTATGAAATATGTCAGATAATTTTCTAAATGGTTATCTGTATAACTAGGTATAATCATTAAAATAGTTAACTAACCCCACCATTGGATCCACCTAGAACCATAGCATTCCTCACAATACTGTAAAATAATAAAGTGACATTTAAATATTGCATACTCTGCATGAGCGCAATTAAGATTTAGGATATTTGTGAGATTCATTATTTTGACTATAAGAATGTGTCTTTCTTTCTTGTTAAGGATAACATATTTATTTCTAGAAAGATCTATGCTAATCTATGCAAGATCAGCTGTATGGTCTATGCTAAGCTAACTAAACTAAGATTGCCATTTGTTACAGATGCCAAACACCGAACACCATCCACAAAAAATTTGGAGACTATAAACAATATGTCGCACTTGTGGTGGTGACGTAATAAAAAATATCAAAATGACTTTTATGCTAATATTAGACACAGTTTTTATATCATTTTAATTACAATATGTAACAACAGGAAATGATTTGTTTGTTTATGCTGTATCTGAAAATTACAGATTCACTTACCGAAGTAATTTCCTCGCTTCTTGTTTTGTCACTACACTGTCCATCACTACTCGACCACATCTCTTTGGAACACAATCTAGAATGGTTTAAAGGTAGAATAAGATCGAGAGAAACACTTTCCAAAAGATTCTGTCTTATTCAGTTTGCTTACCAAGTCTGAACTAAGTCAAACACTGATTTTCTTACTAAATATTAACAGATTTTCTGAGGTTTTTTACTCCTCTTTTTATCAGTTGATTATGACATGCATCAAATAAATTTTGCATAAGCAGATTCATAACATACAAGTATCACCAAACAGTACAAGGTGCCCAATATGTTCATAGGGTTCCCAATGAGCATTTCCATCAGTTAAATTTGAAAGTCTTACCTTTAAATAATTTTCTCTCTTCTTGGTAATCTTTTGAGCAAGGCACCTCATAGTAAAATCTGGAGTAATTATTGCTGGCTGATACCATTGTAATTACTTCAACTTTAGCGTATATGTAAAACTTTGTGAAGAAAAAGGTTGCGACTACAATTATCAACCCGATGAGTACCTTGGATAAGGCACTTACTCTGCTGACTGCTAACTCGTGGTGGAAATATTTTCTGAAACAAAGATAAAATGTTGTGACAAAAAAGTTTATATCAATCTGTATACTGGTATTTGACCAACTATTAGTTATCAAGGGAGGGATAAAAAACTGATATTCACACAGAGCTAGGCATGCTTTACAATATTCCAGCCAATCACAACACAGTGAGTAATATGGATTCTTTTAATCCCCTACTCTACTGACACCAAACATACTTTAGGGCTCAAAATATTTTAACATGTGTCTTCTTGAGTGGAAATCCAAGGTTTAAAAGCAGCTATCACACAAATCATTAGATAAATGTCAGACATAGGCAAGTATGGATACTCTAATTTTGTAAAAAGACATATGAAAGTACAGGCCCATAGCCAGAATTGTCCAAGGGGGGTTCACTTTTCCCAAAAATTCTAGGGGGGGAGTTCACTTTAACAAATTTGGCCAAAAATCACTCAAAAAATAGTTAGAAAGGTGAAAAACTGCATGATTTTGAAAGAAAGTTTGGCCAGAGGGGGGGGGGGAATTCACCCGAACCCCCTGGCTACGGGCCTGAAAGTAGGTTGGAGAATGAAGATTATATTCCTAGTCTTCAACATATGACTCAGCGGATTAAACCTAAAGTAATTTCTTCCGATGAGGATTCTGACAGAACAATAATTGAGGGAGACAAAAACACATTAGAGAATTGAACATTAAGCAGAATACAAGGCATTAACATGCAAAATGCCACCACCTGCCATTTGTTACAGACACCGAATGCCAAACACCAACTGCCACCACAGAAAGTTGTAGACTATAACTATTTGTCACCAACACAAGTGGATATTCTGTACAATCAATTTGCAGGAAATGATCACGTGAACAATCACAATCAAATGTTTGCTAAGAGCTGCAGAGGTGCCATTAAAATTCAAAATCATTGAAAGTGCAGTTATCTCGGTTTATTTCAGTTGAACATCAGCAATTCTGAAATATGTTAAAGACTTAGTTCAACAAGTTAAACCCAATACCATGGCATTCATTTATTAATCTGAATGTTCTTGTTGCCGTGATTGGGTTTAACTTCCGTGCTATGCTTTCATTGGTTGCAAATTCTCATTATCACTTATTAATAAAACGCGCATGGAATTTCATGCACTGCCATAGGACTAGGCCAACATAAATTTTTGCATCAAGGGCCGAATAGGCACAGACGTCAAACCATGGGCTTTCTAGGGCGGGCCACAAGATGTCATATAAGAAATAAGGCCCAGACTAGGTTTATCTTGTTGATTTTTATTATATCAACAGAAGTGTTTGCTTGCAAAATACGTCAAGATAATAACGTTGAAGGCATCAAGATAAACAACACCGAAATCAAATTGACTAGTTATGCAGATGACACAACGATTTTTATTAAAAATATAAAATCCTTGGAAAATATACTGATTCATTCAAATAATTTCTATAAAACTTCTGGACTAAAACTAAATATGATTAAAACAAAAGCAATGTGGCTTGGAAAAAATAAGAATAATGTTAATACTCCACTGGGAATTGATTGGCAAATTGGAAAATCAGCAAAAATTAAGATATTAGGTGCTTATTTCTCTAACCATAAATCAGCACATTTGTTAGATGAAAATTGGAGGGATAAAATAGATAAGATGGAGTGCATTATGAAATGCTGGGACAAAAGAAAATTATCTTTAGCTGGTAAAGTGTGTGTGTTAAAAAGTCTCATTTCATCACAAATTTTACACATGTTAATGACATTCAAATGTCCAGATCACTATTTAAAAGAGCTCAATACAAAAATGTACACATTTTTATGGAAAAAATCAGGTAAGGGCTCAGAAAAGATTAAACGAAAAGTATTACGGCAATCATACAAAGATGGTGGAATAAATATGGTAGATGCTTTTTTAAGTCAGGAATCTCTCATTCTCACTTGGGTTAAAAGGTTTATGAATAGTGAAAATTCAATGTGGAAAGGTGTTAGTAAAATAATTTTAGCCAAAACAGGTCATGATTTTGATATTTTTATATGTAACTCAGATCTGAAAGATCTAAAACCTCAAATTAACCTAGATATGCTCCCAGAATTTTACTCCTTTCTATTAAAGACATGGTTCAAATATCGAGAGTATGATAAAGAAATCTGTAAAACAGATTTATTATGGAATAATCGATGCATTGTGTTCAAACATAAACAAATGTATTTTAAACAATGGAAGGATGCAGGTATCAATTATGTTGCTGACATACTGGATACAAATAAACATGTTAAGTCATTAGAATTTTTCAAACAAAAAATGCAAAATAATGCAGCCATTGTTCTGGAATACAATGTAATTCGCAATGCAATGATTAATAAGAAAATGTGTATGAATAGATCAAAAGGTGAGAAGATGTATAATAATGTAAAGATAAAAAACCTAACTTCAAAGGATGTAAGGAAAATGATTCTAAAGAAAGACCAAGTTGTGCCTATTTGCATTGAAAGGTGGAAACATATTTATCCAGATTTAAATTGGAAAAGAAATTGGCAGTTAATTCAAACTCTCAAAGAGCCACGACTTAAGAGCATTCAATATAAGATTTTACATAATATTTACCCAACTAATACTCACCTTTTCAAATGGAAAATTGAAGGAGTTGCCTCAAAGAATTGTACATATTGTAATGAGGAAGATTCATATGCACACTTTTTCATTTCTTGCAAAAGAGTAAAGTTTTTATGGAATGAAGTAGAGTGCAAATTAAATGCGAGATTTGGGCACAGAATTAGATTAGGACACAACACATTTTATTCAAGTATGAATGTAAAATAAAAAAGGAAGAAGACTACATCAATTATATCATTGTTATTGCCAAGAATTGTATAAGTAAGTACAAATATGGGGATTATCCCAATTTACTGTGCTTGTTTGATCAAGAATGTAATATTAGAAATGTATAAAATTATGTAAAATGATTGGAGAAAATAAATCGCAATAAAAAAAAAAAAAAAAAAAAAAAAAAAAAAAGGTTTATCTTGTTGAACTAGTTAAAGACTACATTATCCACACTTGATGAGAATATTCAGAAAACAACAGCGAACATTGATTCTGACATCAATTCTAATGGCAAATGATTCCAGTTTATAAAATTGGTCATCGAGGTTGACATTGCCATCTCTCAGATTTGAGAATTCTCCCCTCTGCCTCTGCTGGTCTGTGAACCCGGATCTGTGTACTATCCTTACCCGGTTTGTTTATCTCGTGGTATGAGGAAAGTAGTTCTATAAGAAACCTGTTTGGGACTTCAATGGTATACTACAGCACCATCTTTGGATAGAATACTCTTATTTGCTGGTATATAATGCCCAGAATAACTGGGAAACATGTGATCATAACAGTGAACAGGCCCGTAGCCAGGCGGGGGTTCGCAGGGTTCGGGCGAACCCCCCCCCTGGCCAAAAATTCTTTCAAAATCATGCAGTTTTTCACCATTTTGAGCACTTTTCAAGTGATTTTAGCCATATTTGGGGCAAAATTGTCAAATGTGAACCCCCCCTGGAAATTTTTGAAAATTGAACCCCCCTTGGCAAATCCTGGCTACGGGCCTGGTGAACAATAAAATATTTGGGATTATTTTCTGCGGATAGATGATCTTGGTAGTGGTGAATTGGTCAATGTACATAAATATGATGACGTTTTGGTACACGTATTATGTAAAAGAGCAGAACTTTTGATTTTCGTGGGATGTTTTTGTTGAATTGAGTTGAGTTGAATTGAGAGGTGAGATGCTTTGCTATATTTCTCTGAAATTCTTTGGAAATCGATAGGCTGCGATTTGAGAAATTCTAATTCGAACTTTGTCAATTTTACATGCAACTCAATGGTACAAAAAGTAAGGAGAGTTCTACCTCTGTGAATCACAACAAAAGTGTGGGCGATAATTAGTAATAGTTCGCGGGTTTTTACTTCACTGTGCTTAAAAACAGCAAATACACCAATCTTACCTGGCCAAATCATCTTCGGTTTGTTGAGCATTAGGTTTCAATGTTCGCTTTCTTGTTGGCATTTTGATAACATGAATTATTTCACAAAATAATTTTATTTTGTTTCTAAATTTCTATTGAGTGATAATAGATAAAAATGACAACTTTGAAAATAAGATTAAATTAGAAATCAACCAAAGAAAATTTTTTTTACTGTACAAATGTTAATGAATTTTATTTTACTTAATCTATTAATAATTTTACTTATAAAATAATATAGGAAAAATTAAGAAGAGGTTATATTACTGCGAAAATATTAGTCATATGTTGAACGGCTTAACTTTAGAGTTTGACATTTAGATTTGCTATGCGCAAGAAAAATGCGCTCAAATTCAAAGTTTATTTTGGTTATCAAAATTGCCTTTATTTCCGAATATATCATATAAAATAGATGGAATCTTTCAATAATTGTTAGTCTTTGAATTGAGGGAAAAATCGCTGCTACAGTTGCGAGACAATTTTTCTGAAAATGTCGCATTGTAAGTACATTTTTTTAAAAAGTTGTTTTTATGAAATCATTTTTTCGATATTTTTCAATTTTTGTTGATTTTTCACAACATATGATTAGGCCTAGCACTACCAATCACTGAATCAGCATTCCATGTGAATCCCGGCCTTCTCCTATTTTGACAGAGGTATCATGAAAATTAACATTGAATCTTATCTCTACAATCAAATTTTTTATTCTGTCAATCAGTTCATATGGTTAGAATAAGGAAAGAATGTGATGTAACCACGTGTCTACTTACTAGCTTGTTCTATGTCATCCATCGGACTAGGTTACATCGTGGAACGCAGCCAAACACGACAATGAAGCCAGTATTCTGAGGTTATAAAATCTAAATCTAAATAATTTCCCATTTGCAGCCCCTTGGAGATTTCCGGAATTGAACAAAGTAGCGAACGTTGCGATCTTTCAACTTTAGTTCGTTGTTTTTTCACCACCTTATGTGTACTGTTTTCATTTAGGAGGCGGTCTTATTTGAATGCATCATTACAGGTCTTTATGAATCAATAGATCAATAAACAGCTCTAAAAAATACAATTTAGCAGTTTCTTTCATTGCGTACTGCGCATGTTAGGCACGAAAACAATTTAGCAGTTTCGTTCGTTGCGTAATTGGGCCTTCTATAATCAGTAGCAAATGCTCGGAAAACATTTTCCAAAATATTTACTTCCGTTTTCCTTGAAGACATGATTGGGTGACACGTCATTGACACGTGATTAAGTCACATGATCGATACAGTAACTAGTCACGTGATCAGACATGTGTCACGTGTCAGTCACGTGAGCTTGCAAAATGGACGATCTAAATTTCCCAAAATTCGGCTAAGATCAAGATAGATATGCTGTTGCCTTCAGCGTCCTGTTCGGCTGCGTTCCACGATGTAACCTAGTTCGATGGATGACATAGAACAAGCCGGTAAGTAGACACGTGGTTACATCACATTCTTTCCTTATTCTAACCATATGAACTGATTGACAGAATAAAAAATTTGATTGTAGATCTCTATATAATGACTAGTATGTATCCAACAGACCGAATATAATATTCGGTCTGTTATGATTGATACCCTTGGCATGGAAATCTCGGCGATATTTTGTGCACATAAATTTCTCGTTTATTACAAGAATGTTCACCTTGAAAATTGGTGAATATGTTGAAGAGATGTTCATCTTAAACTAGAAGCAAAAATATTTGTATAAGGCGGGTACAAGTTGATATAAAATAATGAAATGTTCAGACTCACCAAAACTTCAGGTTGTGTTCATAAGTAGATCGCGAAATCAATGTCAAGGACGTTTGAGTTCACGAGATCCAAACGAGATATGCAAATTTTTGAACTTTGACTTTTAACTTCAAACACATGACCACTTGATTACCTCGGCCTTCTTCATGAATATTTCCGCTCTATTTACTATAAATGACGAAAATTAATCGGGATAATGATAATAAATGACTAGATCTAATACTGTAGATTGGGTTAATTTGGCGCCCGCTTTAATTTGACGAATTTGGTGAAATTGAGAATTTCGCCAATATAAATCTTCGCCTAAATTTAGAATGAATCCCCGGGAATTATCTAGGGTATTTCGTCCAGTGTATTTAGGTCACTTCCGGTTAAGTTTTTTCCAAAAATATGAAAAAATGTCTCTCCTAAATTGGCTTAGAACTGGTCAGTCACTCATTAATACTCAGGGAAAAGGTGATGTATAGTAGCAGCATCGATCGAGGTGCAAAATGTAAAGGATGATCTCACAAAAATGTACAAACGTGGTGAATATCGCCAGTGGTCCTTAACTTTTGAGGACTTTTAAAAAATGAACATGCCCATTTACATAGTAATTCGCTAACAGCGCGCAAGTATAACATTGTATTAAATTTTTTTTGCATATCCGCCAAATTAAATAGCCGCCAATATGCCAAAAATGGCAAAATCGCCAAATTAAGTAGCGCCAAATTAACCCAATCTACAGTAAATTCCCGCACAAACACGCCTTACCATCGACAAGGTACAGTCACGTGACCGTGACAAAATATACCGTAGTACACTTTTGATGTACTATGTCACCATTAACTGGTTTTAAGCAAAGACTATGATGTAGGTTTGATGCAGGTTTTCAAAAATAAATTTGAGGAATACATAAAGCATTTCATGTTTGATTTCGCGTGTATTCGATTTCAAAGACATTTATTTTTCTAATTACGTTAAAAGATCTTCGAGCAATGCTCGATTTTTTTCGTTGTAAGTCTACCCATACAATTGTTCGGTTGGAAAAATGTTGTTTCTTACACATTTCCTTAGATAATTTTCTCCACTGACGTCTCAGAGTGTCGAATATTTTTATGAGAATGTGTTTCTCTAAACTACACAGTTTAAGACGGGTGAAGATTTAATAAATATTCATGCATTTGGTATAATTTAAAAAATCAGAAATGTACGTTGTCAACTCAAAGTGTATGTTGTCCCTGTAATTGAAATTCAACGAACATGCTCCTGTATCCCTACAGATAAACAGGTAAAAGTGATTTTATCGTTGAATGCTATTTTATTTTATGAAAGTTTTAATATGGTGATTAATATGTGACCATGGCGTATTATTTTCCGACCTCTTTGACCACTCGGCGTCGGTACGTTACGTTATGTTTAGTTGCATGGAGAGATCTACACTAGCTAATCCATGATGACTTTCAAAATTTATGCTACAGGGTGTCCCGAAAGTATGGGCCCCCTAGGCAGACATATACCAATGTCTCCATAGTATATGTCATATATCATTTTAAAGCTCATCCAAAGTTACATTAATTTGCCGAGTATCATGGTCAACTATCAAATGGGAAAAAGTTACAGGAATTTCAAAAGTTAGTATTTGGCCAAAATTAAAGTCAGTTTTACACCAAAACAATAGTCGGTGTGTCTCCTTAGCCACCATGTTAACAGCAGCAATACTTTCCATATATGACCTTGAACAGGCTTCAAATAGGGATATGGCGTTTTGTTATCCTCAAAAAAAAACCTTTTAAGGCACAAGAAGAGTTTCCTTAGAGTATCTACCCTAAACGTAATCTTTTTAAAACTCAATATCCATCCTATATTCGAGAATAGCATCAATATTTTCTGTCACATTCAGGTCAGGGCTGTTTCCAGGATACTGAAATCTTTTTGGCAAAACGCTAATTTTTAAAATGCCTGTTACTTTTTACCATTTGAACCATCATATGTAACTTTGGATAAGCTTAAAAATGATATATGACACATACAACTATGGAGAAATTGGTATATGTCTGCCTAGGGGGAGGGGGGCATACTTTGGGACACTCTGTATATCTGGAAAGTGCAGAAGTTCAAAAGCCAGGTTATGGAACAGAAAAAAAGAATTAGTAACATTGAAATTTAATCATATCAATGACAATTTTATGGATTAACGGACAAAATATTAGAGTAAATATATCTGATATGCCTATCATTATTATTACTTTATTATCAAATATGTTCCTTCTATTACAAGTACATTATAGCATTTCATTCACTGTAAAATTAACTGTGAATTGAGATCTGTAAGGCCAATGTGACAACATACATTCGAGTTGACAACATACATTATCTATTTTTCGTAGTAGCATCCAAAGTAAAAAGCGGTTTTGCATTAACTCTGGATGTATATTTGTATACTTATCTTAAGTTGTGTTAGTCGTAGTTTGGCTGTTATTTGCATAGCAAAACAAAAATTAGAGAGAATTTTGCGAAATTCAGTCAGGATTTAGAGATCCCTGACGTACTGGGTAGATCTATAACAAGATATTGAAGTTGCTGAGGATCATTTGAAGTAGATATGCACATTTGCAACTTAATTACAAATCGAATGCAACAACTACCTGATGATGAACTGACACAATATTGATCAAATCAATGCTAGTTCTTGCCTCGCTTCCTCATTCTAGAAAATGGCGATCTAAAATGGCGGAAATGACATAGTACATCAAAAGTGTACTACGGTAGATTTTGTCACGGTCACGTGACTGTACCTTGTCGATGGTAAGGCCTGACAAATGGAATTTATCAATACGCTTCCGTAATGTTGCTCCGTCCGTTCCACGTGTTATTTGTTTACAAATAGACTGACGTCACTGGCTCAATCTCGTTTATCGTGATAATTGGCATTGCCAAAATGGCAAGACCTAATCAATGGCTTCTCTACAAGAAGCGTCTGTACATTTTATGAATATCTTCAGTAAGAGGACAATATACGAAAAAATAATATTGTAAGTTCTTTATAAGGTAATCATTTTATCATTAAACAAACTTATTTGTAACATTTTTACAACACCACATTTTACAATAGGTGACTTACAGTCTGAATTTATTCAGACGAAGGATACAGTCTAATATAATGACCCGAGGATGCCCCGGGTGAATGGCTAACTTATGAGCATAGTGTAAGAAGCCAGATGGATATAAACCTTGATGGGGATCCTCGGCTAACGTGGGTAACTTTTTATGTCCCCAACACATAGTGTGGGGCCATACTGTCGGCCTAGGCGCATCCGTCTGTCTGTCCATCTGTCTGTCCATCCGTACGTACGTCCGGCAGTTTTCTCCAAAACCGCTACAGATATCACCTTCAAATTTTCAGGGATAACTCGATACCTACTTCCTGTTGGCCATTTTGAAGTCAAATGCTAAAATCCTTGTCTGCAAACTTTAAGAAAAACGGCTTCACAGTTGCTTTTAAAACTTTAAAATCTTGTTCAGCTCACTTCATTCTAGATCTGATTAGGTTTTGGACCTGTTAGCTCAGTCATGTCAGCCATTTTGAATGTTTTAAGAAAAGTTAGCGCACGATAATACTTTGTATCATATTAAATGGTGTTTTTCAGTTTTCATACTCTAACTATTTAGTAGCTTTATAAATAATTTCAGATCTACTTTGTTGTAAAAGCCTTTGTTATTGTTAACAGTAGTTATATGTGATAATTTTGTCAAAAGAAATCAGCAAAAACTCATAATAAATCACTTTTTTATTGTCGGCCATTTTGGATTTTTCCGTCCTAAAATCTTGTCTGTAAAGTCTTGTCTACGCGTTTTCAGGTGAACCGTTTGGTAGATCAATTTCAAATTTTCAGGGATGATTCTTAGTATGAAAATCTAGATCTGATTAGTTTTTGGGCATTCTGGGTAAATGTCAAGGCAGCCATTTTAGATTTTCCGTCCTAAAATCTTGTCTGTAAAATCTTGTCTACGCATTTCCAGGTGAACCGCTTGATAGATCAATTTCAAATTTTCAGGGATGATTCTATGTATGAAAATCTAGATCTGATTAGTTTTTGGGCATTCTGGGTAAATGTCAAGGCAGCCATTTTGGATTTTCCGTCCTAAAATCTTGTCTGTAAAGTCTTGTCTACGCATTTCCAGGTGAACTGTTTGATTTTTAGTATGGAAATCTAGATCTGATTAGTTTTTTGGCATTCTGGATAAATGTCAAGGCAGCCATTTTGGATTTTCTGTCTTTAATATTGTCTGTAAAGTCTTGTTTACAGGTTTTCTGGTTAACTGTGTGACGGATCAATTTCAAATTTTCAGGGGTGGTTCTCCGTAGGAAAATCTAGAACTGACTAATTTTTGGGCATTTTTGGTAAAGGTGGCCATTTTGGATTTTCCGTCCTCAAATTGTGTCTGTAAAGTCTTGTCTACTCATTTTTAGAATAACCATTTGATGGGATCACCCATAGGTGGGGACATTTTGTACACATTTGTGTTCTTGTTGACATTTGGTATGGCGATTGACCCTTTTAGGATCTGGTATGAGAATGGCCCCATATTATTATTACAGTATAGTAATGGTTGGATTTTTCCATTTTCTGGTATGAGAATGGTCCTCGAAAAAATGCTACCTCTCCCTTGTGGTATGGCATTTGTCAGTTTGTCTAGTAGTTACACATATCCTTGATTTGAGGTTGTTTTGGACCCCCAAGAGATTTTGTTTACAGGGTTATATTGAACCCCCTTTTCAACATAAACCATGACTGTAGACTAGTGCAGTAAAGTGTCATAATGAACACCTTATCTAGTGAACACCTGTGTCTTCTGTATAAGATATCTTTCTGTAGCTGTGGCTCAATAGATGTTCAATGTACACAGGTTTTACTGTATTTACAGACTTTATTAAAAGAACTCCAAACATGTTTCAGCAACTAACAATTTAAGAATGACTTGCGTCAGATATTGAGTCTCTAAAAAATCATTTGGACTCCAATTTTGCGTCCCAGTGACTCCAAAAAATTTGGTCTGTGCTAGCACTGTTCAGTGACATTTATGAAGAAAATATGAAGTCATGGTATGGAGTATGTTTCACACATTTTAATGACATTGCAAAATTAAAGCCAATTTCGCTCCATTTGACGTTTGGTGGATGAAGTTTAAAAATATATGAAACAATAATTTGTTAATTTGATCGATTGGTTCAAATTAAGGTAGAATGCTGTGAGGTGAATAATTATTACAGGAGCAAACCCATAGATTGAGATCTCCCATCAAGTATCGCAAACTACCTGGTTTTTATACATTTTCAGTGTGGCAGCATCCTTATGTGAATGTATTCAAGCACTTTGAGATAGGATCATGGAAAAAATCCAGCAAAGAGGGAGAGGTTGTCACTGTAATGGTAAGATTTAATAGAATCCTATCCTTGCTATTTGCAATTGCAGTTCACTTATACTGTAATTTAAGGCCTTAAATGTTGAACTCTTTCAACTTGGGAAAGAACAGAACAAAAAACAGAAAAATTGGGTCAGACATTCATGAAATATTCTAGCTCCCATACTAATAGAAGCAATCATCACATTTCATATTACATTTTGCTCATTTTTATTTTCCAGGATCGAACCATCAAGTGTACAGTTTACAAGATTACTGGCTCTATACCTGCCAGCAACTACATCCAGCTTCCAACAACATTGTCCCAATCTCTGGGTCTCACAGGACATTACCTGTACCTCATGTTTAAACCAATACCTGGAAAATATTTTGTTGTACATCTTGATGTTGCAACAGCAGATAACTTAATTGTTAGGATATCATTTTCTAACTTATTTAAAGAGTTTAAGTCAACATCCACTTGGCTGCAGTTCCCATTTATTGTCAGTGCTTCTAAGGGGTCTGTGCATGCTCAAGCCGCAGTGGGAGCCAAAGGTAAAAATATTTTTTACCCTCAGTTGAAATATTTATACTCACTCGTCACTCCTGTGATGTACCTCTGATTACTACACTGTTTTTTACAACATTTCAAAATACATGTACTTTTTTTAAAAAAACTTAAAACTTAATTTAACCATTTGTTAGGTTGGTCAGTGTTCCAAATAAAGAACCATAAACATTTAAAACCAAATCTATGAGACATACAATGTAGGAATAGTTCTCTCTGAGATCTTATCATTTAGCCCTTAAATGCCCCTCCCCCATGTTGTTTCAGATATCTCTGGGCCAGCTCCCCTGTCCACAAGATGGACAATCCTGTGCTTGGACTTCCAGTACATTCTGTCGATGTACCTGAACAGGAAGTACTCCTACATCAAGAGTGTAAAGCTTTGTGCCAATATGCTGGTGAAGAACATGTTTACAAGTGACTCAGAATATGAACCAGGTCGGCCTACCCTTTTAATATATGAAATAATTCAGTTTTAGTCGTTCTGTTTTATTCATTTATTTCAAATATTTAACATGTTTAAATGACTTTTCAAATGAAAAAATAATTTTTAGCTCAGACTGTAAACCTGGTTGGCTTAAAATATGCAGGTGTCACAGAAATGAGGGTTGCTTTTTTGTTTGACCCTGTGTTAAGCAATTCTGTTTCATCAGTTCCATTTTATTTGATTATTTTAGACAATGATATAAATTCAAAAGATGATAAACCAGGCTCCAAAAAACCAAAGTGACATTTGAGTGACACATTCTGTGACATATTAGAGTATGGTCCTTCAAGAGCCCATGAAAAGGGGCATCACATTATGTAATAATAAGTTCTCAATGCCTTTTTATGGTACTAAAAGAAGAAATGCAAAAGACAGTAAGTGCAATAATCAAGACAGCAAAATCTGTGTACAGGTGTGTGATTTGGAAGTGATAGTTTATTCAAATGTGACAATTTGTAGGCATGAAGCTGGATGAAGTAAAAAAGCTTGGCTTGAATCTACATGGTATATCCCCCATGCCAAGGGAAATGGCATTTCTTCTACCAAAAACAGAAAAGTGGCATGATCATTATGACTTGATAAGGTATGACGATCTTAAGAAAATCAGCATTATATGCTAAAAGATTTTGAACAGTCCAAAAAAAGCTTGATGATTGCATGACAGAAAGTATTTAAAACATTCAATCTCTCTGCCAACGTGCTATCAACAAGTTCTCATTTTTTAAAATAAATGATTTTTTCAGTTAATCTGTTATATTTGTTGTGCATGAATAATCTTTATGATTTACAAATTAAAAAATGCATTTGATTGGATGTTTAAGCACTGTTTTGATGAACACGAAAACTTTTGAATCCCTAGGGACTATTTTTCCTCTTTGTAGATTTTATTTGCCTGATTGAGAATAGCATAACTATAAGGAAAATATCTGTTTTAAGGGCCCTGTATAAACCAGTTAAGAGAGGAATACAAATTCTTGGAGGTCAAAATATTACATGTTCAAGTTCTCCCAAATGTGTATAACTTACTATCTCTTTTACAATGTAATATAGATTTCCAACTGATGCCAGTAAGAAACCATTTGATTCCATACAACAGGGTAGAGTGAGGGATAAGAGTCCTCCAAGGACAAAAAATGGTAGGTTAATTATTTTGATTTTAATAAAGTTCAGAACATCTGATTTGACAGTGCTAGAACTTCACAGCCTCTATTGCACACACATAAGCACCCCTTCAGGCCATATGTACAGATATATGAGACTAAAGTGTGCACCTTTATAAAGATCATCCAAAGTTACATTGAAGTGGAAAATTTCACAAATGAGGAACTACTGAAAAAGAGCAGCAGCAAAAGAACATTTAAAGGCAAAAACCAAGCAGATATTATAGTGCCTATGTTCAAAGTCAGGTAGATGGTGAGATAATTATATTAGTTCTCCGGAATATAACTTGTTAGCTGGGGTCTCAATATAAAGATAAACTGAAGTCAAAATGTTTTCGATGTTAAAGTAAAAATAGACATGATTTAATTCAAAATACATGATAACCATACTTGAAAATTCAGATACAATAGCATTGTAAATGAAAAAAATACTTGTTTTATACTGTTTTCAAAGAAGTCACTCATCAATGCTGAGTTCTGTATTTCTAGGTCCCCCAGGTACTATTAGCCCAAAGAGAATTGATGTGAAACATGTCGATACATCTCGCCATAATGCACTAGAGGGAACCTCAAGGATAAATACTCTCACATCTAGACCCAAGGTACTTGTTCATCACATATTGTATTCAATATCAGCGACAGTTTCATTGGGTTAAAAAAGTTGTCTTTGATTTGAGAACATGGTAATACTCTTGCATGTATGTTTGATATTCCAAGCTTCAACTTTTCTGTTTCCTGTTCAATGTGTATGTCATTCCTCACTCAAAAAGCTGAATAATCCAATGTAATTATAGTATTTTAATCTCACATTACAATATGCAATGTAGAATTATAGTATAATTTGGATAACATAATGATTGTTGAAGGTGTGTGAAGTTTTAAATATTCCTTTCAGTCCATGATGAAGCGTTCTGTGACATCACAGCTTCCTCAAGTTGGAATAGATGGCGATCAGTCAAGTGTAGCAATGGATAACACTGGTGAGGTTCATGTGTTTGCTCACCCAGAGGGTAAGATTATGGTACACAGGAAAGACAAACACAAGGCAAAGACAAGCACCACAGTCATTAACAAAGAGTCTCTTCATAAGGTTAGTTGTGCATTTTTTTTTTTTTACGATTTAGTGATTGTCTTTGTCTCATATTCTGTATACACTTATCCATAAGCTGAACTCTCAATTCAGTCACAGCCATATTTTGCTCAGCCAAACTTTATAAAGGTTGTTTCAGACTGGCCATATCTTACGATGTTTTTCTATAAAACTTTGAGTCAATTTAAATGATTCCCCCTGATCTTTAAATGATTCATGATACTGGAATGATTGCACTGGCATGATCAACATGTTTTGAATATTGATTTTGGTGGTTTTGTAAGTTAATACGAAGAAGTAGTGATGGCTGTTAACTGTTATAATCACCATTTTTGCGACTTGTATACTCCTTTTATGGTTGTGGTTTTTGTCATGTTTAATACACCATTACACCATTGAGTTTGTTATTGTGATGTTATGACTTTATAAATGTATGTCACCTCTGTACACCAGAAGTGGTGACATATTGTAATAATCTTCAACCTTTATGTGGACAGTGTTAGGCAGTTGGTGTTTGGCATTCAGCATCCAGTATCTGTAACAAATGGCTGGTGGTGACATTTTGCATGTTTATGCCTTGTCTAACACTTTGACCATATTTATGGATGGTACTATGTTGTGGTTAGATGTTATTATTTTGTGATTTTGTTACCATTGTGTAATTGCATATTCATTCCCACATTATGATAACATATGATCACTTTTTATTTGTATTGTGTATAAAATATTACCGCTTTGTACTTGCAATGGATTGCATATTACCACATTGTGCTTATATATTACCACATTGTACTTACATATTACCACATTGTGCTTACATATTACCACATTGTACTTACAGAGTCTTCAGCCTGACCCCATACTGCAGTTGAGAAGAATTGTTGGCTTTGGAGGAGCAAGTACTAAAGATGTATGTCAACCTATTTTATATCTCTTTAAACACTAACGTGTACTGGATGTCAAAGACACATATACATTAGGGGTCCCACGATACATTATGAAACGATACGATACGTATCTCGATACTCAGGTCACGATACGAGCAACGATACGATACATAATAGTGTAGTTGAACCGGGGGAGGGGGGGGGGTGCAAAACTGACGAAGCTGAGGTCGGGTTGAAAGTCTATCACTTGCTGTGACATTTGATTAAGATGCAGCATAAAAACTATTGTCAAGTATCAAGCCTACCTGCTGAATAGTAGCCAGCTATGCATATTTTGCTTTCCCTTTACTGAGGAATGTTACAAAGTACTACAGTAAATTTTCTATTAGGGGCCGTATTAGTATATCACAACTACCCAAGTTTGATATTTACACGACCATAATTCTATCAATTGTTTTCAAAACTTTCAAACTCCGGTCAACATTAATACTCCGAACGTAAATATTGTTCGGTTTTTTATAAGAGTTATCAATATTAGTAGGCAATTTTTAACGCAGCGTTCTATCGAATAAAAAGTTCAAAGATTATATTTATTCATGGCTAAATTGTCAAAAAGTATATAGAATAATTATAAACAAAGTACGTTGATCAAGACACGAGTTATTTGTTCGCATTTTGACTGTCAATCCGCTAAACATTCTGTTCGCATTTATACACCATTTTGGGCGTGTCATGTCCAGCGAGAAACCAAACAAAAGATATAAGAACAATTTCTCAAAAAAGTCAAATATTCAGTAGATTTCGGCAAAATATGGTGGATTTCAGGTATGTTAATAATATTTTTGGTGTATCAATATTTGAGTCTTCGTATCGATACGCTCGTATCGTCACCAAACGAGCCGATGCATCGATATATCCATGAATCGCGGGACCCCTAATATACATGTATAAACAAGTGAAAAGTAAAGTTACCAATAATTAAGTAATTTTTCATGTACTTAAACAATCCAAAAGATGTGAAACTAAGTAGATTTAGAATACAATGTGCATTATTTTTTATTTCAAGGGATTCAGATGTGTTAATAATTTGTTTATTTTTAAGGACCCCCCGCCCTTATGTAACGTTACATGTTCATTTACCCACTGACTGTAACATTTTAAACTTCAGGCGTTATGGACCAACAGTGGTAGGTCTATAGTCTACCCATGCCATGCTGTAGTGGTCACTATGCAGATAGCAAATGGTGCACAGAGATTTTTCATTGGGCATACTGATAAGGTATGGCATTATTATTTTTGTATATACAATAACTAGGGGTTCGAGAGTTAGCCGAAACCACTGAGCTCTGAACATTATTAACAAAAACTAAGTCTACTGATACGTTTCAACTGACTAAGTGCAGTCGAAGAAATATACAAACTCAAGTTATGGAGAATGATTTGGAAACTGAGGAAGACACCAGTACAAAGGATTTTAATGAAATGTGCAAAGCTGCTGCAGAGAGATCATTGACCAAGTTTGACAATATGATCAAGTTGCAATTGAACCCTGACAATATCATTCAAACCTTTTGAAAACTTTTAAAAGTAAAGAACATCAAGTAAACAATTTGGATTAATCTATCTTGAGGACTCTTCAACATAGCATGAAATATTTTCCTTTTCTTATCTAATGACAATGAATTTGAAATGAGGCTAAATGACAAATGACAGTGATTCACAGATTATTTATTTTTCAGAGCCAGATAAAGTGAATTCAATTAAATAATTGAACATTTGAACTTTTTGCACTCTGTCAAGATTTAAAATTTAGAGGATGACAATATTCACTCTTAAACTGAATTACATTTATTAAGCAAATTGTGCACAGTGAATTTTTATCTGAGGCATTTATGACCGCCAAGTTGTTTCTGGATCTCCAGTTACATAGGGCAACCCTAAATGCAGCATAGGATAACAATGATACTTTATATAATTTGTGATTGTAAATTTGAAACACTTGCACCCTCATACAACCAGCTCCAAATTTTATAAAATATGAAAGATGTATTTATCTGTACAGATAAAGTGAATCTTAATGAATAATTACATGAAGTTAAACACTGCTCTGGCCAGCTTTAATTTAAGTTAAGGGGCATAACGTTTTATTTCTACCATTAATGATTAGTATTTAGCAAATTGTGCACAGTGAATTTTTATCTGAGGCATTTACGACCGCCAAGTTGTTTCTGGATCTCCAGTTACATAGGGCAACTCTAAACGCAGCATAGGATAACAATGATACTTTATATAATTTGTGATTGTTTTGAGATACTTGCACCCTTATAGTATTAACCATTTTCAAATCCCTGGTTATGAATATGTATTTATACTGTAACTGTAAAAAATATAGTGAAATAAAGGGGAAAAAAAAAGAATGATGAAAGATTGCCAGCTAAATAATAAACTACAATTTCCTGAACATATCATATTTTGTACAAACCAGGAACAAGATAAGGTATATGTTAGGTCACATAAGTTTGGACTGACTGAAGTATGTGAATTATAAGTAATTGATATCAAGATAAGATATGTTATTTCAAGATTGATATGCTAGGAATAAACAGCTGCCTTATAAATCAGTTTTAAAAATAAGAAAAATCTAACTGAAATATTTGTGTGATATTTATGCAATTAGCGCAAGAAGTGTGCCAACCACTTATAAGTTAGGCGGAGTATAAACTTTACCATGTATACTAACCGAAAGAGCAATCTTGTAGGATTGAAACCTGACACTCCTACCTAGCAGAGAGCTAGCCTCTTAGTTCTAGCTAGTTCAGATAGTCTACATGCTACAGGCTTCTAAGTGAAGATAACAATAAATACAACAAAGTTCAACAACTATTTCTGAGAATTGGGTGTGGAGTTTTCTATGGATAAGAACTGACCATTATGGTCAGTGACTACTTACAAGTTAAGGTCAATTCATACGGAACTTAAAAATGGAGTTAAGGATGTATATTTTTCTGGCATTTGTAGCCAATTTAGGATTAATAAAAAATGGTGAATCAAGCGAAAAAAAAAAAAGAAAAAAAAAGAGCTCTGACCATCATTAACCTTATTTTGTTCTGGGGAAAATTGCTATTTGTAAACATGCGTGCGCTTAAATAATGAAGATGTAGATCAAGAAAACTCTGATGTTGAGAAAAACTCTGATGATATTTCTAATTGAATGAAAAAGATACAAGCTATCAGCTGACACACATAATTATTTCAACAGTTAAAGGGGAAAACCAGGTATAAAAGGAAGATGGAACAGCCAAGAACAGTCAATTATGTCTGTTGAAAATGTTTGAATCACTGAAACCAGTAAATTTATTTTGATTTTGCCGATATCATGATTTCTAAGAAGTATCAAAGACCCAAATTTGCTACAGTCATGTAAAAAGCCATAATAAAAAATATGAAATCATATTCAAGTATTATTGAGTATATTTCAAGCATATTTGAAAAAAAATATTCAAAGATCTCATTAAAAATGAGCAGTTGGATGTGGATTTAATTTCAAATTGACCAATAGTCTGCAATGCTCTCAGGTCAGAGGTTAAAACATGTAAACAAAGCTGCAATATGCCTTGTGCTTGTGTTTATAAAGAATTTAGAATTTTAGAATTTATTAAAGCATGGCCACTGTGTTATCAGGCCATGGCCAGACTACAATTATACAAACTACATTTATACAGTTACATTTATACAGTCTCATTAATCTACAAAGATATTATGTTGTAATGGTTGTGATGTTATAGATTTCTTTTCTTAAAGCACATGTCAATGAAAAGTCATGCTATAAATATAAATGACCCCACTACTGCTAAGCCACATCCTCTGCTGACAGCTGATTGGCTGTTTGTTATCTGGTAGGCATTTCACATGTTACGTAAGACACCCAGGTGTATCAATTAACTGAAGTTTTCCTCTTTAAGTGGTTTTAACATTTTTGGTTCAGTTCGGTTTTTGACTCCCTTGGTTCGGTTATTGTTGGTTTTTATCACACTATTATATTCTGCTATGATATACAATATAAGACAAAATTAGCCACTATGTCATGTATATAATCTCATGTAATAGGTTATGCCATGAAATTTCACAAAACTAACATTTTTTCAATTTATTGTATCATAAAATTTTTATTGACAATTTTGTTGACATTTTGGTGTTACATGTATATTTATGTTTAGATACAATTTAGAAACTGCTCAACATGATTGCTATTGATTGAAATATACACATAACAGAGAATTTGCTAATTTTATAAAGCTGTAAAGTATATTATTAGTCAGTTTATTTTGAGAGAATAACGTCCACAAAGTTGATCAAAATTTGATCCTTTATAAATGTACCCAAAAGTTTTAGAGGACCCCACATGATACGATAGCTCTGCACGTATCTTGAAGTGGAAGTTGTCATTTTTCAAATCGATAAGTGTTTTCCCTGAAGCAATTTCTTGGATTTTAACTAAGTTCATAACTTCCTCTATGGCCCTGAAAAGAAATCATTAACCAACTTTAAAGTCTTGTTCCAATTTTGGATGATTTTATCATCCAAATATTATTTTTCATTTTAATTTTGAAAATTATATTTGAATTTCCCTCCAATATAGCAACAAAAAGTCTCTAAATACAACAATTTATTCTTTAGATAATGTTGTATTATTAGGTATAATCTGATGGGGTAATATTGAATGTTTTTAGTTTGCTAGATAACAATAACCATGAATTGAAATTTAAACATTACAATATTAATGAAAGTTATTCACAAAATAGGGTCAGAGAATGCTACTAAACGACGAATGAAAGCAGGTGTGACATCACTACTATCCTTGCAACTTTGCAAATCGTTCATAACTTTATGGCAGAAATGCAACTTTAATAATTATCTTTGTAAATTTAAAGGGATATTCCCTGCCAGACAATTTCTATCCTATTATGGAAGCTATAACATCGCAAAACATGTGAAAATGTTTTGATATGGTTAATATTGATCATTTAAAAATATATTGATAATTTCCAGTAGGCTATCTTTTAAGATTTTTCACAGGAAGTGATATTATAAACTGGAAACTTTTATACCCTTGCCCATAACAGTGTAGGAAAGTAGCAGAAAATCACTTCTGGCCAAGTGGTTCTCAATTTCTGTGCAAAAATATTTGAGGGCTTGTCAACATAGAATTAAAAAGGAAATTATCAGAAGGATTTAGTCATTGACAAAATTGACAAAGAATATTCATCTAATTTTGTCATTCTTGATACCTCCTTCCCTAGTGCTATATGCAAATTTAATAGTTCATGACATCACTTCCTGTGTGAAGAGTGAAAAGGTGACAGCCCACTTGAAATAAACAGTGCATTTTGAAATCAATATTGACCATTTCAAAACATTTTCCATGTTCTGCTAAATGTGGAAAGTATATATTGTTATTAAACCTACCATATCATGAGAGAAATGGTACATGATAGCAAGGAATATTCCTTTATATAACAAGTCCACCCATATAGCTCAGCTTAAGCACGTGTACTGCAGTAGGTCCTGGATTCGATCCCCGGTTCAGGCAACACTTAATTTGCTTGTTTGCGTCAATTACTTCAGGGCTTTTGCCTAAGTGGTCCACAACTTGTACAAAAAGCCGTGGTGTGTACTTGTATGACTATGTATGAGTGTACAAAAAAGAAAACAGAGCTCCTTCAAGGAGGAGTTCCTGGGTCTGCCATCCATGATTACATGCGTTAATTACGACTGTATACGGAATGAACCCAAAAGGTATTGCTCACCTTCATTGGTGGTAAACAAAATACAATACAATACAATACAATATGATACCATACGTTACATTACGATACGATACAATACGTTACGATACGATACGATACGATATGATACGATACAATACGATACAATACAATACTATAGACTTTGAATGTTGATAACTAAAAAAACATGAACAAACCTCAGATTAAGTTTGAAATATATGTTCATCATAATAATTTTGGAATTAATAAGTAACAAAATAACTAACCTCCCATTTGAATCATTAAAGCTGAACTCGGCAACACCGAATGTTTTTATAACCTGTGGGAAATGCTGTAGCCTCTCTGTTCTAACAGGTCTTACGTTGAGTGTAACTTCTGTCACTGCTGAAAGAAAGCAGGTCTGGTAGGCTGGGATGAGACCCTTCAATTTTGTTCCCACTGGTATAGGATTCACTGAAAACAGTAGAATTGTTACTGGCCCGTAGCCAGAATT